CGCAGCAGAACATCCAGACTCAGCCAGAGTTTCATTCCATACAGCATTAACCTTGCGAACTCTCAAGCTTCCTCCTTCCGTTATATATTCAAGATGGACAGTATTTAGTATTTATTTGCTACGTATATGTAGGCATGTGGGTCTATACATATGTTGTTCATAGTATGTTTAAGTGTGCGTCATGTGTGTGTTTCACTTTGAGAGCGGGCAACTAAATTTCATTTTTGATGTGTGCCATTGTGCCCACAGTATAAAAATGACAATAAAGGTTATCTTATCTTATCTTATCTTAAGATAGATAGATAGATAGATAGATAGATAGATAGATAGATAGATAGATAGATATAGATAATAGTGAGAGATGATAGATAAAATCAAGGATGGATAGATAGATAGATAGATAGATAGATAGATAGATAGATAGATAGATATAGATAGACAGACAGACAGACAGACAGATAATAGTGAGAGATGATAGATAAAATCAAGGATAGATAGATAAATAGATAGATAGATAATAGTGAGAGATGATAGATAAAATCAAGGATAGAGATAGATAGATAGATAGATAGATAGATAGATAGATAGATAGATAGATAGATAGATAGAAGAGTAGATAGATAGAAGAGTAGATAGATAGAAGAGTAGATAGATAATAGTGAGAGATGATAGATAGATAAAATGAAGAATAGATAGATAGATAGATAACCATCTATCTGCCATCTATCCATCCATCCATCCATGCATACACACTCTGCCCATGCCCAGAGGCATTTTTCTCCTCTTGTTCTGGGATGTCAGCCTTAGCAGCAGAGCGGTTCGCCCACTGCAATGGAGAGCGACCTGGCCCACTACATTTAGGCGTTGTGGGAACGGAGCACGAGTGCTCAGCTTACGGTTTGGTGCGTCGTCCTGCAAAACTGTTAACCTTGGATCCCTTGAATAAAGCGCAGCTCAGTCTTTGTGTGCAGGGAATGGGCTCTGCTGGCCCCGGAGCAGGCCAGCCTGCTTGATTACGCGCCGTCACGTCAGAGAGACGAGGCCCCTTTTGGATCCTGGCCTCTGGTTGCCCAGCTTTCCAAAACCGGCAGAGGAAGTCAGATCTTGTCCGTGGTTCATTCCCCTTTCCAGGGTCTGGACTAGCAATGCCAGACCCCGGGGACCGTGTGGGATTTTCAGGGAAATGGCTCAACCTTTCCCGGGTTGTTCTTTGAAAAAGCCCCTAGAAGCCCTTTGCCAGCCCTTACTCTGCTCTTCCGCAACAGGAAGGCTTGCAGGCGTTCACATCTGGGGCCAAACGCTTCCTGAGGCACCGTTCAAGATCCTCAGCTCTGTGAGAGGGGTGATTTGAGAGAGGAGAGGGAGAGGAAGGGAAGGACAAAGAAAGAGAAAGAGACAAGAAAGAAAGGAAGAAAGAAAGAAAGAAAGAAAGAAAGAAAGAAAGAAAGAAAGAAAGAAAGAAAGAAAGAAAGAAAGAAAGAAGAAAGAGAAAAAGAAGGAAGGAAGAAAGAAAGAAAAAGAAAGACAGGGAGGGAAGGAAGGAAGGAAGGAAGGAAAAGAAAGGAAGGAAGAAAAAAGAAAGAAAGAAAAAAAGAAAGAGAAAAAGAAGGAAGGAAGGAAGAAAGAAAAAGAAAGACAGGGAGGGAAGGAAGGAAAAGAAAGAAAGGAAGGAAGAAAGAAAAAAGAATGAAGAGAAAGAAAGAAAAAAGATGGAGGGAAGGAAGAAAAAGAAAGAAAGAAGGAGGGAAGGAAGGAAAAGAAAGGAAGGAAGGAAGAAAAAGGAAAAAGAAAGAAAGAAAGAAAGAAAGAAAGAAAGAAAGAAAGAAAGAAAGAAAGAAAGAAAGGAAAAGACAGAGGGAAGGAAGGAAGGAAAAGGAAGGAAGGAAGAAAAAAGAAAGAAAGAAAACAAGAAAGAAAGAAAGGAAAAGACGGAGGGAGGGAAGGAAGGAAGAAAGAAAAAAGGAAGGAAGGAAGGAAAAGAAAGAGGGAGGAGAAAAGGAAGAAAATATGGGAAAGGAGGAAGTTAGGGAAAGGAAAGAAAGAAAAAGGAAGGGATGGATGGAAGGATAGAAGGAAGAAAAAAGAAATAAGATAGAGGAAGGGAGGGAGGGAGGGAGGGAAAGAAAAAAAAGGAAGCAAGGAAGGATGGAAGGAAGGAAGAAAAAAGAGAAAGAAGATAGAGGGAGGGAGGGAGGGAGGGAGGGAGGGAGGGAGGAAGAAGAAAAAGAAGAAACTACAGGGAGGGAAGCAGCTGGGGAAAGAAAGAAAAGAAAGGAAGCAAGGAAGAAAGAAAGGAAACGAAAGTCCTTTTGAAAGAAAAGAAAGGAAGGAAGGAAGGAGGAAAGAGGGAGGGAGAAGACCATCCACTCTGAGAAAGGGGAGCTGGCCAAGGTGCTGCAGCTGAGGGGCCTGGGGGTCTCAGCACCTTCTGCGCAAGAAAAGGCTGCCACGTTTGGGGTCCTTCGGCTTGGACCATTCAAGGGGCCCAAACTCTTGCCCAGCCTGGAGCCCCCGGACAAGGAGTCATCCTGGGAAGCCGATTACAAAAGGCAGCCCTTTTTCTTACACACACACACACACACACACACACACACACACCACAAACACAAGTGGCCTTTAGGCCTTTAGGGGCATCTCTGCACAAGAGGCAGAGATGCCCCTAAAGCAGTGGTTCTCAACCTTTTGAATGCCGCGACCCCCCCCAACCGGTCGCAAGTCGAGGACTACTCAACCAGTCGTAAGTCGAGGACTACTCCACTGGTGCAGCACCGTTGGCAGAAGGGGACTTTTGGCGGGCTCAGCAGGGCAGAGACAGCCTGGACAATTCCTATTGGCTTTGGAAAGCCAATAGAATTAGACTCTATTCAAGAGAGTCTCTTCTATTGGCTTTCAAAAGTCAATAGAATAAAAGGGAGTAGCACAGCTAAGGAAAAGGGGGGGAAAAATGGCGGACTGCGTTGTTTGGCGACCCCCGTGAAATGGTCGTTCGACCCCAAATGGGGTCCCGACCCACAGGTGGAGAACCACACTGGTCTAGGGTTTCCTGCCTGAGCAGGGGGCTGGACTAGATGACCTCCAAGGTCCCTTCCAACTTTATTATTATTATTATTATTGCACAATTATGAAATGGTCGTTCGACCCCAAATGGGGTCCCGACCCACAGGTTGAGAACCACTGCTCTAAAAGGATTTTGGAAAGGGCCAGGCCACCCAGAGGCTCTGCTGGAGCCGAGCTTTGGCTCAGACCGGCCCAAACGAGACTTGCCACAGGCGCCTTGCACAAGAGCGGGGGGGGTGGGGTGGTGGAACTGGACGTCTGACCCTCGGACCCCGTGGGGCCAAAGGCCACACGGAGGGATGCAGAGGGGGGGGTCATCTAGAGGAGACCCCTCTTTTTGGGTGAGGGACTGCTAGGAGAAGCTCTCCAGGATGGATGGTGGTAGGTAGGTAGGTAGGAAGAAAGGCAGGCAGGCTGGGGGATTCTGGGAGTAGAAGCCCACCCCTCTTAAAGCAGGCTGGCTGGGGAATTCTGGGAGTAGAAGCCCACCCTCTTTTTTTTTTTTTTTTTTTTTGCAAATTTTATTTATAATACAGTTAAAAACAAACATTGGATTTGACGTGACATTCCAGTATATACATTCTTATCAGATTATTCCACTTTTTACAATCAGTTCTTCCTCTCTACATATACATCTAAGTTTTATATACAATACTTGTTCTAAAATAACGTCTATTTCTATCTTAACATTCATCTTTAACCCCGACCGTCCTCTTCGAATTCCTCCAGCAGTAAAATTTATCCCAGGTTTCATAATAAACTGATTCACATTTGCCTTTTAATATCCTTGTGAGCCTGTCCATTTCCGCACATGCTAATATTTGATGTGTTAACTCTTCCTCTGTGGGAATTTCCTTGCTCTTCCATTTTGGCGCAAGAACAAGCCTAGCTGCGGTCAGGATGTGTAGCAGCAGGTCGATTGTTCCCTTGTCGTATTTTTCTGTCGTTATTCCCAACAAGGAGAGTTCAGTTTTAACTCTAAGTCCAGTGTTAATATATCCCTCAACCAGTTTCGTGTCCTGTTCCAATATTCACGGATCTTTGGGTATTCCCACCACATAAAAGCAGGCTGGCTGGGGAATTCTGGGAGTGCAAGCCCACCCCTCTTAAAGCAGGCTGGCTGGGGAATTCTGGGAGTGGAAGGCCACCCCTCTTAAAGCATGCTGGCTGGGGGATTCTGGGAGTAGAAGCCCACCCCTCTTAAAGCAGGCTGGCTGGGGGATTCTGGGAGTGGAAGTGCCCCCCTCTTAAAGCAGGCTGGCTGGGGGATTCTGGGAGCGGAAGCCCACCCCTCTTAAAGCATGCTGGCTGGGGGATTCTGGGAGTGGAAGTCCCCCCCCTTAAAGCAGGCTGGCTGGGGGATTCTGGGAGTGGAAGTCCCCCCCCTCTTAAAGCAGGCTGGCTGGGGGATTCTGGGAATGGAAGTCCACCCATCTTATAGGATGCTGGCTGGGGGATTCTGGGAACTGAAGTCCCCCCTTTTAAAGCAGGCTGGCTGGGGGATTCTGGGAGCGGAAGCCCACCCCTTTTAAAGCAGGCTGGCTGGGGGATTCTGGGAGCGGAAGCCCTCCCCTCTTAAAGCATGCTGGCTGGGGGATTCTGGGAGTGGAAGTCCCCCCCCTTTAAAGCAGGCTGGCTGGGGGATTCTGGGAGCGGAAGCCCACCCCTTTTAAAGCAGGCTGGCTGGGGGATTCTGGGAGTGGAAGTCCACCCCTCTTAAAGCAGGCTGGCTGGGGGATTCTGGGAGCGGAAGCCCTCCCCTCTTAAAGCAGGATGGCTGGGGGATTCTGGGAGTGGAAGTACCCCCCCCTTTAAAGCAGGCTGGCTGGGGGATTCTGGGAGCGGAAGCCCACCCCTTTTAAAGCAGGCTGGCTGGGGGATTCTGGGAGTGGAAGTCCACCCCTCTTAAAGCAGGCTGGCTGGGGGATTCTGGGAGCGGAAGCCCTCCCCTCTTAAAGCAGGCTGGCTGGGGGATTCTGGGAGTGGAAGTCGACTAATCTTAAAGTCGCCCTTGGAGCCACGGGCGGGCGGAGCCCCAGCCGCCAGCCGGGGGCGCTTGCTTCTACCAAGCCGAGGGGACCCAACCAGCCGCCCTGGCCGGGCGAGGTCGCTGCTTTCCGGCTTGCTGGGGCCGAGGGCTCCGCGCTTGGTCCGCCCGGCCGGCTGCGCGCCCCGCCCTCCTCCTCGTGGCCGGCGAAGGGGCGGCCCGGGCCGGCCGGGCGCTGGGCAGGCTCGCTCTTGCGCACTCGGAGCGCAGCAGCAGCAACCGCCGCCGCCGGAGGAGCAGCAGCAACCCAGAGGGGGTCCGCCGGCCGCTCCGGCTCTCGCGCAAAAGCCGCGCAAGGCAGCCGGGAGCGCGCAGCCCCCCATGAGCCCGCGGGGGGCAGCGCAGCGGAGTCAGCCCGGGGGTGGCCGCCCGGCCGGCCCGTTCCGCCCCTCCGGCCGGCCCGGACCCCCCGCGCCCAGGATGATCCCCCACTTCTCGGCCGACGCCGTCATCTCGCAGAACGCCATCAACCAGCTGTGAGTCCAGCGGGCGGGGGTCGCGCCGGCTGCTTGCTTCCCCCCCCTCCGCAAACTCCCGCTGGAGTTTGCCTTTCCTCTCTGCCCCCCCCACTTTTGCGCTTTAGGGGGGCGGGGGGCTAGTCTCAGAACGGAGGGAGGGAGGCTGGGCCGGGGGTCGCGCTGGCTGCTTGCTTCCCCCCCTCTCCAAACTCCCGCTGGAGTTTGCCTTTCGTCTCTGCCCCCTCCCCACTTTTGCACTTTAGGGGGGGCTAGTCTCAGAATGGAGAGAGGGAGGGAGTCAGGCTGGGGCGGGGGTCGCGCCGGCTGCTTGCTTCCCCCCCTCCCCTCCGCAAACTCCCGCTGGAGTTTGCCTTTCCTCTCTGCCCCCCCCCCACTTTTGCGCTTTAGGGGGGCGGGGGGGCTAGTCTCAGGACGGAGGGAGGGAGGCTGGGGCGGGGGTCGCGCCGGCTGCTTGCTTCCCCCCCCAAAACTGCCGCTGGAGTTTGCCTTTCGTCTCTGCCCCCCCACTTTTGCACTTTAGGGGGGGCTAGTCTCAGAATGGAGGGAGGGAGGGAGTCAGGCTGGGGCGGGGGTCGCGCCGGCTGCTTGCTTCCCCCCCTCCCCAAACTCTCGCTGAAGTTTGCCTTTCCTCTCTGCCCCCTCCCCACTTTTGCGCTTTAGGGGGGCGGGGGGGCTAGTCTCAGAATGAAGGGAGGGAGTTAGGCTGGGGCGGGGGTCGCGCCGGCTGCTTGCTTCCCCCCCCTCCCCAAACTCTCGCTGGAGTTTGCCTTTCGTTTCTGCCCCCCACTTTTGCGCTTTAGGGGGGCGGGGGGCTAGTCTCAGAACGGAGGGAGGGAGCGGGGGTCGCGCCGGCTGCTTGCTTCCCCCCCCAAAAAAACTCCCGCTGGAGTTTTCCTCCGCCGGCCAGGCTGCCTTTCCTCTCCGCTCCTGCGCTTTCGAGGGGGGGGGGCGCCTTCTTCAAACTTCCCCCGAGGCTTCTGCAAACTTTCTCCCGAAGCGCGCTGGGCCCGAGCTCCGGACCGGCCGCGGGGGCTGCCTGGCTGGCTACGGGACCTTTTGGGGACCAGCCCAGCGCTTCCTTCCCGGTCTGCCGGGCCGGAGGAAGCGAGAGACGCGAGCGCAAACTGCTGCCGAGGGGGGCTGGCCGGGTCTCCCCGTAGGCTTCCCCCCCCCTTGGCGGCGTTCTCACGGCGCCTCGACCCGGGTTAGCGGTCGTGTGAACGGAGCCTCTTTGGCGCTTTGGCCCCCGAGAAGGGGACGGGGGTCTTCTCCCCTCCCCCCGGGAAACCCCCCCCCATTATCAAGGAGAAGCGACCCTCCTGCTTTGTCTCGTCCCAGCTCGGCTGCTCCTGATGAGCAGGCTTCGCGTTAAGCCACGGACACGCCGAAACGTGGAATTGTTGGTGTCTTAGTTCCGTGTTATTGTTGTGAATACGGTTTGATTTATTGACCCGCTTTGGGCGCTTTCAACGCCTCCGGAGTGGAGAAAAACTTTTCTTTTTTCTTTTTGGATGGATGCCTTGTTGGGAAAGTCATGTTCCTTGGGATTTTGTTGCAATTTCTTCGCCTCACTTTATCTTCTTCAGCAAAGTTGCAGCGAGGCCTTAGGTAGGCTGCCGTTTGCCCTCTGGGAAACAAACTAGGATTCCCACATAAACAAGCCGAGTTGGGTTTCTGGGTTGGGGGAGGGAGCTTATCTTGGTCAAGATAGGCTGTGAATGTTGAACTGAAATCAGGGGTGTCCGAGCATGGCAACTTGAAGCCTTATGGATGTCAACTCCCAGAATTCCCCAGGCTGCTGGGGAATTCTGGGAGTCGGAGTCCACGAGGCTTTTAAAGTTGCCAAAGTCGGCTGGGGGATTCTGGGAGCTGAAGTCCACGAGGCTTTTAAAGTTGCCAAAGTCGGCTGGGGGATTCTGGGAGCTGAAGTCCACGAGGCTTTTAAAGTTGCCAAAGTCGGCTGGGGGATTCTGGGAGCTGAAGTCCACGAGGCTTTTAAAGTTGCCAAAGTTGGCTGGGGGATTCTGGGAGCTGAAGTCCACGAGGCTTTTAAAGTTGCCAAAGTTGGCTGGGGGATTCTGGGAGCTGAAGTCCACGAGGCTTCAAGTTCCCACGGTTGGTTATCCCTGCCTTAAACGATTTTGCAATTCTACTTCCTGGTCAGTTTCTATGCTGAATCCCTTTTTTCTGAAGCCTGATGCAACCGCACAACCTCGTGCTGCAGAATACCCAGCTGGCCTTGGCTTCCTGGCTGGATCTCCCTCCAAGCTCTCTGCCCCCATAACCGGGGTGGGTGGGTGGGTGGGTGGGTGGGGAAGGGGGCTGGCATTGCTCCTGATCAGATGTCGGAGAAAGCCAGCCAGGAATAGCTCCAGAGACGTCCGTGTCAGCAAAGAGAGATTGGATTCGGCAGCAGAAAGGGAGGGGGACCATATGTCACCCAGATAAGGGAGTGATCGTCAGACTGGGTGGGGAGGGAAATATGGATCCCAGGACCCCCCCCCCCACTTAATGCTCAATGGGAGACAAACGAGTCTGGAAAAGCACCAAATGGGATTTGCATCCATCGTTTTGGCCTTGAAAATCTAAGGCTGCCAATTAACCCCCCCCCCTTGGCCTTGAGGGGGTGTGTCACTCTGGAGATAGTTAACAGACTGAGATAAGACACTCCCCCCCCCACGCCTCCCCTTCTGCATCTTGTTTTCTTCCTGGCCATCTTGGTTAATTTTTAAGCCGATTTTAGTAGCAATGTTTATGATCTTAATATTCGACGGTCTTGCTTTACATCGGTGTATTGGTTAAATATGCCCCCCCCATCTCTCAGCAAGAGGCAATTCTAGGCAGCTGACAACCAAGTGAGAATAAAGAGGAAAGATGTTAAAATGTTAAAATAATCAAGTTAACAGTAAAAAGTTAACAGTAATACAGTTAGACCTCGGCTTAACCACCACACTTGAGCCCCAAATGTTTGCTGCCAAGCAAGGCAGTTCTTAAGTGAGATTTGTCCCATTTGCCCTTTCTTGCCACAGTGATTAAAGAAGTAGTAGTAGTAAGGAGGAGGAGAAGGAGGAGGAGGAGGAGGAGGAGGAGAAGAAGAAGAAGAAGAAGAAGAAGAAGAAGAAGAAGAAGAAGAAGAAGAAGAAGAAGAAGAAGAAGAAGAAGAAGAAGAAGAAGAAGAAGAAGAAGAAGAAGAAGAAGAAGAAGAAGTAGTATTAGTAGTAGTAGTTGCAAGGGACGTTAGAGATCATCATTTTGGACAAATGGCTGTCCAGTTTCTTCTTAAAAACTTCCACTGTTGGAGCCTTCACCGATTCTGGAGGCAGGTTGTTCCACTGGTTAATTGTTCTAATTGTCAGGAAGTTTCTCCTTAGTTCTAGGTTGCTTCTCTCTTTGGTTATAATAATAATAATAATGTTGGGAGGGACCTTGGAGGTCATCGAGTCCAACCCCCTGCTCAGGCAGGAAACCCTAGACCATTTCGGACAAATGGCTGTCCGATCTCTTCTTAAAAACCTCCAGTGTTGGAGCATTCACCGCTTCTGGAGGCAAGGAGTTCCATTGGTTAATTGTTCTAACTGATTCACTGCAGTTGTTATTAAGTTTGCTACACGGTCGTTGACTTCCCCATTGACTTTGCTTGCCAGAAGGTCGCAAAAGCGGATCATATCACCCCGGGACACTGCACTCGTCATAAATATGAACCAGCACCCAAATTTTGATCACGTGACCCTGGGCATGCTGCAACCGTCCTCAGTGTGAAAACCGGCCGTAAGTCGCTTTTTTCACTGCCGTCGTAACTTTGAACGGTCACTAAATGGACTGTTGTAAGTCAAGGGCTACCTGCAAGACATTTTTTTACTCAGTTGGAAGCTGGCACCGTCTAGAGCAGGGGTCCTCAAACTTGGCCACTTTCAGGCTTGTGGACTTCAACTCCCAGAATTCCTCAGCCAGCCAAGTTTGAGGACCCCCTGCTTTAGTTCCCTATTGGTGAGATGGGTAGCATAGAAATCAATCAGTCAATCAATCAATCAGTAAATAAAATAAACACCAGGAAAAATAACTGAGGAAGAGGAAAGAAGGGGAATCGCAATTTTAAAAAAAGTTTGCATTTTGGAGTTAGCTATAGCAATAGCAACAGCACTTAGACTTATATACTGCTTTCATGGTGCTTTACAGCCCTCCCTAAGCGGTATACAGAGTCAGCCTATTTGCTTCCAACAATCTGGGTCCTCATTTTACCGACCTCGGATGGACGGAAGGCTGAGTCAACCTGGAGCCGGTCAGGATCGAACTTCCTGGCTGTGGGCAGAGTCAGCCTGCAGTGCTGCATTCTAACCACTGCGACATCACGCCTTCCTTCCTTCCTTCCTTCCTTCCTTCCTTCCTTCCTTCCTTCCTTCCTTCCTTCCTTCCTTCCTTCCTCCTGTCCACCCATCGTCCCCTTTTCCTTCCTTCCTCCCTTCCCCCCTTCCCCCTTTCTCCTCCTTCCTTCCTTCCTTCCTTCCTTCCTTCCTTCCTTCCTTCCTCCCGTCCACCCACCCTTCCCCACTTCCCTTTTCCTTCCTTCTTTCCTTCCTCCTTTCTTTCCCCCTTCCCCCTCCCTTCCACCCACCCACCCTTTCCTACTTCCCTTTTCCTTCCTTCCTTCCTTCCTTCCTTCCCCCTCCCTTCCCCCCATCCTTCCCCACTTCCCTTTTCCTTCCTTCCTTCCTTCCCCCTCCCTTCCCCCCATCCTTCCCCACTTCCCTTTTCCTTCCTTCCTTCCTTCCTTCGACTTATATACCGCTTCGCAGTCCTTTACAGCCCTCTCTAAGCGGTTAACAGAGTCGGCCTAATTTGCCCCCAACAATCTGGGTCCTCATTTTACTGACCTGGGATGGATGGAAGGCCGAGTCAACCTTGAGTTTAATTGTCCGAGAAGCAGCTCCATCTTTCCCTGAGTAGCTGCTGTCTGTTCTTAACCAACAGCTGCACATCTGTTGTGGTCGGCGGAGTTC